GGTTATTTCACTTTTATAATCATACATAATGAATGATAAGAATGGTAATGATAATGGCACTGATAGTGATATGATAATGATGAAGATGATAATGTTGCTAGTAATGATACTGGTAATGATATTAATAATTATAGTAGTGATAATAATGGTGACAGTAATGATGATAGTGATAATAATAGTTATAATAATAATGATAATGATAGTAATGATAATAATGATTATAGTAATAAGGATGATGATAGTAATAATGATGATGATAATGATAATGATGGTATTGATGATAATGATAACGATAATAGTAATGATAATAATAATGATTATGATGAAAATAGTAATAATAATGATGATGATGATTAGTAATTATAATAATGATAGTAATAATAAAAATAATAATAATAATAATAATAATAATAATAATGATAATGATAACAACAATGAGGAAAGTAGTGTTGATAATAGTGATAATGATTTTGATGATAATAGTAATAATAATGATTTTGATGATAATAGTAATAATAATGATGATGATTAATAATAATAATAATAATGATAATGATAATAATGATAATAATATCAGTAATGATGAAAGTAGTGTTAATAATACTGATACTGATAGTAACAACAATGCTAATAATAATAATGATGATAATTACAATGATAACAATAACGACAGAATGATAATAAAAATGATGATAGTAATGTTAATAATAAAGATGATAATAATAATAGTGATGGTGATGATGATAATACTGATAATGATAATGTCATTATTATCACTATCATCATTCTAGTGTTAATAATGACATTGATAATGATGATGATTATAATATTAGTAATGATAATAATAATAATGATAATAGGGATGATAATGTTAATAATGATCATAATAATAATGATAATAGTGATGGTAATGATGATTATGATAATGATAACTACTACAATAATGATAATAAAGATAATAACACTGATAATAATTATGATAATTATAATAATAATAGTAATGATAACCACGATGATGTTAATGATGATGATAATGATATTGATTACAAGATAACAATGATAAAAAGAACGATATTACTAATAATGATAGTAACAATAATAATTATGGTAATCTAAATAATTATGATAGTGTCAGAATTAATTTTAATAACAGTAAAAGGAATAGTGACGCGTATCAATGGTTAACGGTACATTATCGGTATGGTGACTGATCAAAGATAATAATAATGGTAATACTAACAGCCGCTAATGATATGAACAATTGTGACGATTATTACCATCAATATTACATCGTCATCGTCATTATCATAATCATAATCTTATTTTTTCTCATTAAAGTCTTCATCTTTAGTTTTATCGTCATCATTTTTATCATATGAAATGTCTGTTCTGGAATTATTAATAAAATTGTTATTCTTTGTGTTATTAGGGTTTTCTTCTATAGTCATAATGCAATCATGATAATAACGATCTTAATAGCAATAATGATATTTCAAATAATACTTATGAATATTGTCATTTTCGTTTTCTGTTTTTTTATCAATATTTTTTTTGTCATTCTTACTATTCTCATTATCTCATTATCATTATTATCAAATCCAATCAGTACTAATACTTTTTACGTGTTCATGGCTTTATCTTTATCATCATATTCATTATCTTTCATCTTTACTTTTCAAGTGCTCATGACATTATCATTATGATTATATTCATGGTCATTCTTCATTACTTTTGATCAAATTCATTATCATTCATCATTACTAAATACTTTTTTATATGTTCAAGATATACAATTATCTTGCCAGAGATACAAACAATATAACATGTATAAAATATAACATTCATGGTCATTCGTCATTACTTTTTATCAAATTCATTATTATTCATCATTACTAAATACTTTTTTTATATTTTCAAGATATGCAATTCTCTTACCTGGGATATAAACAATATAACACGTATAAAAGATAACATTTTTTTTCAACCCCAAGTAGTACACTGACTGCCATTCCTTCAGGAGCCAGATGGAGGCGATCTCTGCCAAGGAAGGCTTCGCGGGCTCTCCTGAAGGCGTGGGGGCGGGGGAGGCCATCGCGGTGGGCGTGGAAGGAGGGGACACAGAGGACAAGACGGTGCTGGAGGATGACTCTGTGTCCACTTCCTCCGAGGCGAGCGACCTCAAGCCCATCCTTGACGTGAGAGAGCGCCTTCGTCAGGTGATGACGTCGACTGCTTTTCAGGTGAGTCGCGTTGCAAGGGATGACGTCGGTTTGGGCTGGGGTAAAGTCTCGTATATTTGGGCCTTTCACCTCATGAATTTGGGCTTTTCATCTCATGAATTTTCACCTCTCATACATTTGGGCTTTTCACCTCATGAATTTGGGCTTTTCACCTCATGAATTTGGGCTGTTCACCTCATGAATTTGGGCTGTTCACCTCTCATACATTTGGGCTTTTCAAGAATTTTAGTAAGGA